TCTGGGTACCCAGACTCATTTGGGGAGAAACGACTGTGTGGCAGTGGACAAAACTTGAAGACAGTTTTCTCTCAATGGTGCTTGCAGCGATTACCACGGGACACTGAGACACAGGGGCCTTTTAGGGCAGGGCTGACGGAAAGCCTTTGCTGTCTGCCCCTCACTGAGACTCTGCCCCATCCAAGCTGAGCACAGAGGCTTTTGTAAGTCTTGTCTCATAAGGGTATCTTCAGCACAGAAGTTCTCCCAGTGTAGACAGCTGATTCTCACAACCACTTGGCCTGGAGGTCAGTTCCTCCCAGTGATACCAATGATAGTTAAGGCTTAACTACAACAAGACTGTGCACACAACCCACAAAGGGGTGTACCAGGAGTGTCCACCTCAGGTAACTGGGGAGGCTGAACCACTGGTCCCTATAGGACACTTAGCACACAAAGCCACTCTGTCAAGTCAGGGAAGCAGCCAAAATGCAAAGTCAAGGAAACAGGTCACAAATGAAAGAAATGGAGGAAAGCAAACAACTAGATATGGAGTTCAAAACCATGGTTATAAGATTTTTCAATAATTTTCTAGAAAAGGCCGATAAATTTAGTGAGACCCTTGAAGATATGAAAAAGGACCAATTAGAAATTAAGCATACACTAACTGAAATAAAAAATAATATCCAGAGATCCAACAGCAGACTATAGGATCTCAAGAATCAAGTCAAAGATTTGAAATACAAAGAAGCAAAAAACACCCAACCAAAACAAAAAGAAAAAAGAATCCAAAAAGATAAAGATAGTTTAAGTAGCCTCTGGGACAACTTCAAGCATACTAACATCCGAATTATGGGGGTGCCAGAAGAAGAGAGAGAGCAAGATACTGAAAACCTATTTGAAGAAATAATGACCAAAAAGTTCCCCCACTTGATGAAAGAAAAAGACTTACAAGTCCAGGAAGCCCACAGAACCCCATACAAAAGGAATCCAAAGCGGACCACACCAAGACACATAATAATTAAAATGCCAAGAGCAAAAGACAAAGAGAGAACATGAAAAGAAGCAAGAGAAAAAGTTAGTTACCTGCAAGGTAGCACCCATACGATTGTCAGTTGATATCTCAACAGAAACTATGCAGGCCAGACGGAAGTGGCAAGAAATATTCAAAGTGATGAATAAAAAGAACCTACAACCAAAATTACTCTACCCAGCAAAGTTATCATTCAGAATTGAAGGTTAGATAAAGAGCACAGGTAAGAAAATGCTAAAGGAGTTCACTGCCAAACCAGTATTATATGAAATGCTGAAAGGTATTCTTTAAGAAGAGGAAGAAGAAAAAAGTAAAGATAAAAATTATGAACAACAAATATGTATTTCTATCAACAAGTGAATCTAAAAATCAAGTGAATAAAAAATCTGATGAACAGAATCTGGTGACTAGAATAGAATCAGGGGCATAGAAAGGGATTAGACTGACAATTCTCAGGGGGAAAGGGATGAGAGGGGTGCAGGAAGAGACTGGAGTAAAATCGTACCCCTATGGATGAGGACAATGGGGGATAGTAAAGGCAGAGGGAGGAGTGGGAACTGGGTGGAGGAGAGCTATTGGGGGGGAAAAGGAGGTCCTAGGTTTGATTCCAGTCAAAGTCATATACCTTGATTGCGGGCACATCCCCAGTAGGGGTGTGCAGGAGGCAGCTAATCAATGCTTCTCTCATCATTGTTTCTAACTCTCTATCCCTCTCCCTTCCTCTCTGTAAAAAATCAATAAAATATATTTTTTTAAAAGAATTTAATTATTTGTTAGCCCTGGGAAAACTTCAAAAGCCTTTTAACACAAAGTAATAGTCCTAGTTTTTTATTTTATTTTTAAAGATGCTATTCATTTGTAAAAGGCCAGTTTTATTTTATGGAGTTTCATTTTCTTTGAGGGGAGACTTCAAAATTTAATAGTAAATTTGGTTCATCGTTCTTTATCAGTGTTAGAAATAGTTACTGAACTGAATAATTAGAAGCCAGGAGACCTGGAATTCATTCCAAACTCTTATATCATTTTGGCATTAGTTTAGATTCTGTGAAAGCAAACAAGATGAATTATGATATGAAAAAAAGAATCTCCACATCAACTTGGTATTGCTAGAGGAATTGCCTATCTCAGTCCAACATGCGCACTTACATGTTGTTGCATTTCTTTTGTATCATGTGACGTGTGTGTGGACTTTGAATCCTGAAGAAAATGGTAAGTTATAATCTTGCTTATGTATAAGTGAGATAAGTACCATAGACTATAATCAGCTTTCTGAATTGGGTTCAAGTTACGAGGTATCAGGAGTCATCTTGCTGATAATCTGTCTTGCCTGTGCATATGGCATTTCTCAGATACTATACTATTTTTATTTCATCTTTTTATCCAAACCAGCTAACATAAATGTTCTGTTTAAAATAACTTTATGAAAGTCTTTATAAAAGGCGCTTTGTAACTATGCCTCTGAACAATATTCTTCCTTTATAACATAATTTCTTATGTGCAATAAGGAAGTATCTGCTTTTATTGTGGGAAGTTCCTGGAACATTAAAAAAACATTCCATTCAGTGACGCGTTCATTCAGGTTTTGTTGTTGTTGGGTGACATTTTGTGTACTGATAATTCAGTTTATTAAATAAGCATTGTGGAAGGTGCCCTAGGGGAAAGAGATAAGTAAGACACTAGTTCACAACTAAGCACATTTTGTTGGAGAGGAGTTAAGCTAAGCTATAACTGTAATAAAATGAAGAATATTAGTCTATCAAGTAGTTTGAACAAATAGTGTATTTGGAGGGGTGAGAGGAGGAAGGGGCAATGTCAGTGACATTGTAGCTGGCCTGTGAAGAATTAGTAGGATTTTACAGGTGTGAGGCTATATAGGTAACATAATAAAGGTTGGAGGTTGGCATCACTTTTAGTGTTTTTAGAGGATTTGAAGCAATCTAATTTGCTGGCAGTATGGTACTATAGAGAAATAGAAAGATTAATTTATTTAATAAATATAAAGTATTTGTAGCCACCAAGTATGGAAGCATAGGCTGGAATATTAATGATCTGAGCAGCTTGTTCTTAATATATTCAATATTTGGGGAGCCATAGACAATATTAAAGTTGGAATGTGCCAGGATTGAAGATGTACCCAGAGAAGATTAGTCTTTATAATATTACAACCACCTTCTAATACGTCTGGCAGTACATGAGAAGGGACAGGAAAGATGCATTAGAAGGTGGTTGTAATATTGTAAAGAAGACTATTGCTTGAAACAGTGGGGACAAAGTGTTACTGGAGAATTACAAGGATTGCTCTTCTCCATTGCTAGTGAGAGGGGAGTTTTGGGGGTGCCATTGGAAAAAGAATTTCTGGAGGTCGCCAGGGGAGAATAAGTTGAGGTACAAAGCTTTATTTGTGTGGAATTATATCCCTCCAGTTGCAAAGTCTCATTTCCCTTAAAGGAGTCCTGGAAAAGGTGCAGCTGGGGATCCAGCAGAGCTAAAGCACAGCCATTGTCCAGAGCTTGTGTTCCATGGTGGAGCTGGTCCCATGTAGCATCAGACTCGCTAGAGTCCATTAGGCCATCTTGTGTGGCATCCACATGGCCGTGAGCCAGGTAGGCAGGAGGGATAGGTAAACAGATTCACTAACATTTTATGTTTAATAAACATGTTCTGGCAATATTGTTATAGAAATTTGATGTTTTCAAATTAAGAAAACTTTGAAATATGTATGCCTTCTACCATTTATAACTACAATATAAACCAAAGAGTGATCTAAATTATTATTTCTTCTCTACTTACGTAGGTAATTAGAACATCGTGTAATGACAGTTATAAACCTGTATCAAAAATTTATATGCTATTTTTGTATCAGACATGTGACTTTTATTTTGGACTTGAGGATAATAATTATATCCAAATACTACACAAGTATTACTGTCCTGAACACTTATTCAAATAACTCCTGATATTAATCACTCTCTTTAAGAATTTTCTTTGTGTTTGGGAATATATTTGTGGTGTTTAATCTTGCTGAGAACATGGGTGTTACAAAATGCTCTCCTTTATCTTTCTAAGCTTAAAATCTTAATGATTGTGGACAGTTTTTTTTTTTTAATCTTCACCTTAGGACATTCTTAGACAGTCAGACATCAATGGAAGAGAGAAACAACAATCAATTTATTGCCTTCCGTATGTGCCCCAACTGGGGATCGAACCTGCAACCCAGGCATGTGCCCTGATTAAGAATCCAACTGGCAACCCTTCCATGTGCACAGTTCAAGGCTCAAGCAACTGAGCCACTCTGGCCAGATGATTGTGGGCCTTTTTATGGAGCTACATTCTTAGCTCTTTGCTCTTTTCCATGTATATATACTTCTTTACCTTTGGGAATTATATTTATTACTTCTTGAGTGTATGTTTCTCACCTTAAGGAGGATGACTGCCAAATGTATATCTACATCTTCATCTTCTATTTTTTGTTATGTTACCTTCCCAGCCCACATCTTAAAAATTCTCCTAATTCTTCAGAGACCAGCTGAGAGTCACTTAACCCTAAGAGGCCTTTCCCAGTCCCCTAGCCCAGTAGTCAGCAAACTGCAGCTCGCGAGCCACATGTGGCTCTTTGGCCCCTAGAGTGTGGCTCTTCCACAAAATACCACGGCCTGGGCGAGTCTACTTTGAAGAAGTGGCATTAAAAGAAGTTAACTTTAAAAAAAATGGCTCTCAAAAGAAATTCCAATCGTTGTACTGTTGATATTTGGCTCTGTTGACTAATGAGTTTGCCGACCACTGACCTAGCCTGTAGCCAGGCTCTTTATATTAACAAAGTTCTGTTGTTATAACTTCCTTTCATATTCTAGGTATAATTAGTCATGACTACTTCATTTGGCATTTGTTCAGTTCTGGTCTAGCATTGTTTTCATAGCAAACACACTATTAAAGAGGATAAATTACCCTCATTTGGATTTACTTGTGTTTTGTTTTGTTTTTTTTTAAGGTATTTTCAAAAGAAATAATTCCAGATTGATGGATGAAATTTTAAAACAACAGCAGGAACTTCTGGGCTTAGATTGTTCTAAATACTCAACAGAGTTTGCAAATAGTAATGACAAAGATGATCAAGGTAAGCCTGAATATAAAATTGAATATCTAATAAAGGCCAATGTGTTTTGTGGTTGAAGGCAAATTCTGTCACTCATTCATTCATTTCACTCTGCTGGTCTTTATTGTCACCATCTTTACTCATCAGATTTAGACTTTTCTTCATTTTGTTAATTTTTTTAAAAGATATTTTTATTGATTTCAGAGAGAAAAAGAGAAAGGGAGAGAGATAGAAACTTCTATGATGAGAGAATCATAATTCACTAACTCTTGCATGCCCTCCACAGGGGATCAGGCCTGCAACCAGGGCATGTGCCTCTACCGGAATTGAACCCTGACCTTCTGGTACATGAGTAGATGCTCAAACACTGAGCCATAAATGGCTGGGCCATTTGTTAATAATTTTCAGAAAAGATAAAATTATGAATTTCATAGATATTTTTAAAAAATAACATTTTATTTCACTCGTAAGCCACCAGTAACCAGGCAGATTTTATACTAGTTCAAGAAAATCCAAAGAACAGACACATTTCTAGATCAGGAATATTGAAATGGTTTTTAGTGGGGTTGACAAGAATTTGGCGTTGCTATTACTTACCTAGAGTCCTACCAATTGTAAAATAGCTTGGATAGAATAACAAATTTGATTAAGTGGGTATGTATTGTAAACAATGCAGATTTTATTAAAACACATTTTTTTTTTGTCTTCAGTCCCAATCTGCTATGATTGTAGATGCCACTTTAGACTTACAGAAATTGAAATTTACTCTATAATTAAAATTCCTATTTGCTAGAGGGTCTATTCACAGAGACAAAGTCATTCTGCATACTTTAAAGAGGAGGCGGTATTTAAATACATACACAAATGTGAGGTATGGGTTCTTTCCAAGGAAAGTAGTTTAAGCATATTTTGATATGGAAATTGAAGAGCTTAAATGATTCTTGTTTACTGTAAGAACTGTACTTTTATTTAGGTCTGAATTTAATATATCTTGAAACTGACTTTGAAATATATCTGGGAGAGTGTGTGTGTTTTTTAATGTCTTGTTTGTGTTTTCCTTCAGTTTTAAATTGCCAAGTGGCGGTGAAGGTCCTGTCCCCGGAAGATGGAAAAGCAGATATCGTACGAGCTGCTCAGGAATTTTGCCAGTTAGTAGCCCAGCAGCAAAGTAAATCCACAGATTTGGATGTGCAAATGTTAGACAGTTTACTTAGTAAGTCATAGTATTTATTTTTAGCTTTGTCCCACAAATATACAGTATGAAGAAGAGTATCTAGGTTCCTTTCACATTTTAAAGGTTGACTTTGTTGTTATACATGTTGTGTTTCTGAAGTTTAAAATCCTATGTGAATTTTTAAAAAAAATATATTTTATTGATTTTTTACGGAGAGGAAGAGAGAGGGATAGAGAGAAACATCGATGATAGAGAAACATTGATCAGCTGCCTCTTGCACACCCCCTACTGGGGATGTACCCGCAACCAATGTACATGCCCTTGACTGGTATCGAACCTGGGACCTTTCAGTCTGCAGGCTGACGCTCTATCCACTGAGCCTAACCAGTTTTGGTTGAAATTGGTTTTGAGATAATAACATTTGTGGTCAACTCACTTGCATTAGGACTTACTGGTAAAGGAGAGGACCTAAGAAGATTTATAGGGGGAGTGATGAACATTCTTAAAAAGGATTTCTGCTTGTTAGCCTTCCTCCCTCTGGGATGTCTTTCTATACCAACATAAATCTGCAAGTTTATTTCTGGGCTTTTTATTCTGTCCTATGGCTCTGTATTCAAGACATTATAATGCTAGAGTGTGTTGATATTCAAAGCATAAGAAGCCAATTTGATGAACAGGTTTTGCCCTGGTCATTTTATTTGTAAGCAGTGCATGTTAAGTTTGCATGTATTTCTTTCTTTTCAAGGTTCAAATGGTTTTCCTGATCCTGATGTAGTACTGAAGTTTGGGCCTGTGGAGAGCACGTTAGGCTACCTTCCCTGGCACATCCGATTGACTGAGATTATGTGAGTAATTAAAAGTACACTGACTTTGGTTCAATTCAACAGGAGTTTCTGGAGCCTAGTACTGAATTAGCTTCATGGGAATTCCCCCCAAATTGCAATTCTGGATTCTTTCCCTCAGGCATTTCACAGTATCATTGGTAAAAGAAAGACATATAAATGCTCAGACACAAGAGAGTTTGGTTGTGCAGATGTTTGGTATTGACACCCAATATCATAGGAGATCAGGAGTGAGGTATCTGTGGGCCAGAGTTGTTGACTATGTAGAAAGGATGTGACTTGATCTGAAGATGTAAATGGGGTGGAATTTTGTAACTGGAGAAAAAGAAGTGTAGGGAATGGCAGGGTTGGGGAAAGCTGGGGTGCAGAGGAATGCTCATTACCTGTTGGAGACAGAATAGAGGAACTGGCCACACCAGAGCGGGAGTTGGTGATAGGCAGTAGTGTGAGATACGATCAAACAGTTTGGGAGTAGAGACAGTGCGAACACTTCCAGGAGCAGCAGAAGGAATGCACGTGATTGTTTGGACAGGCAGACGGAAACCGCTGAGCCTGGGATGACTCGGCAACGGTGACCTTGGGAGATGGGTTGGGTAACTGGAACAGCAGAGTGCATTTGGGAAAGGATGAGGAAAGCACACCAGCGAAGAGGCCATAGCTTAATTTAGGGGAGAGTACAGCGAAGAGAATGAAATTGCTTATGTTGAACAGTTGGCAAGCTTTCTGTATAAAGGGCCCAATAGTAAATATGTTAGGCCTTGCGGCATCCTGTGTCTCTTGCAAGGTCTCCTCTGTTGCAACTACTTAACATTGGCTGGTCTACCTACACAACCACAGGCAACATGTGAACAAATATGCATGACCACATTCCAATACCCCTTTATTTACAGACACAGGTAGCTGGCTCTTGGGCTATATGTGTCGATTTAAAATAAAGGAGAGACTTAGGAGCGTGAAAATATATTTAAATTCCAGGCTTTAGGAGAAAAAATACTACAAATTCTATCTCATAAGAAGTATAATTGCAGGCCTAGCACTTCACTAATTATGATAAAAGAAATGAAATGACTCTTAGTTTTAAGCCTAAGTGACTGGGTGGATTGTAGAGCTATGGAGAAAAACGGGAAAGTGAAGGGAGCATTGGCTTCTGAAGGGAAGATGTTGAATTCAAGAGTAAGATGATTTTGAGGCCAAAGTCTGTTTAGATGGAAACGTGTAGAAGGGCAGAAGACGATGTAGAATTGGTGCTTGGATGAGAAGTCAAGACTCAGGATGAATCTGGGGCGTGTCAGTGTCTTGGAAGTAGAAGTAGGGACCTGTGAGAGTCGAGGACCTCTCTAACGGGCGCCTAGAGGAGCACAGAACCAAGGGGTCAGATGCTTCACGCTCAGGGGCTGGCGGGGAAAGGGTGAAAAAAGGTTGAAGGGCGCGCAGTCTGTTCGAGTCAGAAAGGGCTGGAGATCACCTGACACAGCTTCCGCATTTTGTCTGTGAGTAAAGTGGAAGGGACACTGCTCAGGCTTGTAACAAAGTGGAGTTAGAACTCAGATGTGCAGCTCTGGGTTTCCCTAGGGTGGTGCTTAGTTCTTTTCTCTAGATTTTGGGTGCTTTTCAGGTGGTAGTAGTTTGGAGGGAAAAGTGTTTTAAAACACTTTTGTGTTTTAAAAACATCTTGGTTTATTGTAGCTATCTGTGCGGCTCATTGTCATGGTTTTGGAAAGCTATTTAAACCTCTCTATTTGTAAAATGGGCAGTTAAACACAGAGGTCAGGACTTAAATCTGATAATGGACCTCGGATACCTCGCACACTGGCTTTCCTCGTGGATCTTGGTGCCGTGTCTGTCAGAGCTCTACGTCTGTCACAGCTCTCCACCACAGTGAGTTTGCTCTGTGTTTGTCTATGACCACCAGACTGCAAGCACCCAGATGCAGGGAAGATGTCCTAATTTGGAAAAGAAGGGTGAGCTCTGACGAAGCCGACCCCGAAATAGGACCACTTCAGAGGCACAGAGGGTGCTTCTTAAGGAGTGATGGGAGATGAGACTGTGGGGAAAAGGGGTAAATTGAGGAGGGCTTAGGGAAGTGGGTAGTGTGAGGAGGACATTTGAAGCAGGCTTTGGCAAGAAGAATGTCAATTTGTCCTTTGAGGATGTCATTTCAGTAGAGTGAATAAGAAAGGGTTATGGTAGTCAAAGGAAGGATAAAGATTATATGTCAGTTCCATCTCAATAAAGCTGGGGTTTGCGGAAGAAAGGGTAAAGTGTAGCAAAGAACCACAGGGGCAGACAGGAGTTCATTCACGGCAGGTTTGCTGAATCCTTTTCTCTGGTGCATGGATCTGGTTCTTGTACAATAGCCAGGTGTTCGGCTCTCATACTGTTTGGAATTTTCAGAATTCACAGTAAAGCTGTATAAAGTAGAGATTTAAAAATAATGTTAATTATTGAAAATTACTTAAGTGATTAAAATACTTAAAGGGGAACCTTGACTGGGTGGCTCAGTTGGTTGGAGCATTGTCCTGTACACCAAAGGGTTGTGTGTTCGATTCTGGATCAGGGCACTTGCCTAGGTTGTGGGTTCAATCCCTGGTCTGGGTAGTACTGGAAGCAGCCGATTGATGTTTCTCTCCTTCTCGTCCTCCTTTCTCCCTCCTCCCTGTTCTCTTTCCCTCTTCCCTTTCCTCTCGAAAATCCTCAGGTGAAGATTAAACATAAATAATAATAAAATAATAAAAGGAAAGTATTTTCACTGTATTTTTCACTCCAGCTGTATGTTCACTCACCTGTATGTTCACTCACCTGTAAAGTCCTTGTCTTCACACTGCCATTGTCCCCTCGAGCAGCTGGAAATGGTGGAGGTAGATGGTGTTTGTTTATGGTTACTCACCACGTGGCTTCCGTCTGTCCCTGTGCTGTGCTGCTCTGCCCATGCCAAGCCTGGCTTTACTAACTCACTAAAGCAGTACTGGCCTTTCTCAGGCAGAGAGAAGCTCCGGAAGTCAATTTGGATGAAATCCTATATAAATAGACCTCCAGCTTTGCATTAATCCAGCTTGGAGCTTCTGAATCTCTATCTCACTACAAGTTACTTTTCTCTTTCTGTGGAAGGAGAGATTGTTTTCCCTTGAACTGTTTCACAGTTAACCATCACTTAGTAGAAATGGTTTGTATTCTCTATATTACAGCTTACTTATGTCCTTAACCTCTTTTTGGTCACCACCCTTCTGGTCCCCCCTCCAGATCGCAGTATGTCATCTAACGACTCTTTCCCCTGTGCTTCCCTTTCAGCTCCTTGCCTTCCCACCTGAACATCAGCTATGAGGACTTTTTCTCCGCCCTGCGCCAGTATGCAGCGTGCGAACAGCGTCTGGGAAAGTAGTGATCCCTGGCTGCGCCAATTGACTTCAGGCTTTTGGAGAAAAGGACCTAAGTGATTCTGATGTTTACAAAGCAACTATGAAACCCTGTACACACCTAGTTCATAACCCTCATAATTTATCAACAAACACAAAAAAGTGTCTTACTTGAGAGTAAGTGTGAGTGTGTGTGAGTGTGTGCGCGTGCGCTTGCGTGTATGTATGGAAATAAACTTATCAATGGGAAGTGTTAGAGAAGGAAATACATGGACTTGCCCCTCTGAGCAAGCGCAGTAATGTTATAGGAGCTGAAGTTTCAGTTTTAAAGCCTTCAGCCACAACTACTTCCCTGTTTTTGTAGGGACATGAATGGATGTATAGAGCTGTTAGATTATTTTGTGGTGGGGGGAGGGAGGAAGGGATTTTTTTTTTTCCCAGTCTTTCCTGGTGACCAAACCTTAATTTCTAAGAATAATATATTGACTTATTAAATGGAAGCATTGTGAGTTTGAGGGATTTCCAGAGGAATGGAGTTCTTTACTGCTCGCGTATTAAAAACTTGCTCACCATTGAAGCCCAAGGAATACCTCTCGTCGTTATTGTCAAACAACGTGACTGGAGAGTGTTGATCCGGAGTCTTTGTTCTGGGATGTAAAGTTCACTGGAAAAGAACCTTTACAACATGGCAATGAAGAATTTAAAGAATTTTAAGAATTGAAGCCTCAGGCAGTCCAGAAAAGGGGAAGGAAGTTGTAATCTGAAAAACAAGCTGGAAAGTTTCCTAAAAAAGAAAAGTTTGGATTTTTGTTGTTTGATGGATAGTGTGCATCCAAAGTTACCTTAAAAAAGTATTTCCACTGTTTGTTTAAATCAGCACTTGAGGGAAATTACACGGCAGCTCTTTTCCTCAAAAGTAACCTGTACCTCTTGGGAATCACATGCTTAGGACCACGTTAGTACCCAGCGTTCTGCTCAGTAAATCCTGATGATAAAAACCTTTAAGTGATATTGAGGGCTGCGAAGGTAATAAAACATTACCAAAGGCTACAAAACAAATTAATTCTACATGTTCTCTTTCATGACAGAGAACAGCACTGGTTCTGTTATCTTTTTAAATAAATAAATGATTTTGATAGGTAATTTAATATTTCTTTCCTCACTGCTGATTCTTGGACAGAAACCATTCTTTATATTTGATGGACCGTTTTCAGAAAAATCTTAACAAAGGTGTAATAATTATCTAAAATTATACATTTAGAATGGAGAAATTTAAATACTATGTCTCAGATGTCTGAAAAGTAGCAGAGAAGACTGGCTTTGGAAAGTATGATCTGGAATTGCTTGTTAAATTCTGAAGGTATGAAGAATAAATGTTTCAACTTTGGATTACAAAACCCCATTTATGATTTAAAAAATGCACTTGAAATAAAATTATTAAATGAAATTTTGGTTTAGTGATACTGCTTTATATTTTATTGTTCTTTGAACATTGTAAGCCTTTTTTTTTTTTTTTTAAAGTTTATTGCTGAAAGTTTTATGTGAAGCTACAGCATATTTCTAAACTTGACCAGAAAATTTGTTATTTCTGTTTCCCTGTACAGTGATTCGTGTTTTAGTGAGGATTTTTTTTTTTTTTTTTTTTGCCTTGGTTTAGGACTGAATGTATGGCTTTTATAAACATGTGTCTGGAATATGTGTAGCTTTAATGAATTAAATGTAATGGGCCCAGTTGAAGTGAAAAGATATATTTGTTAAAATGACGTTAGTCAAATAAATTACCCTCTGGTATATAGCCAAAGTCGCTAAAGGTTTAATAGTTGTCTTTACTTTATTTTCTTCCATTTTGTAGCAGTATAGTGCTACCCACCAGAGTGAATCTGTAACCTGTGACGAGTTTATTATAGTCCCAGAAAGAGACCCTGAAAACAAATTGCTAAGGATTCTGAATTCAGATATAGGCATTCCATATCTTTCTCCTTGTGGGTTCAACTACTAGTACAATCTCCACAACTTGAATGGCATTGGTCATTCTGTAATTCATGCCAAAATTATCACTAGTTAACCATTAGCAGGGCTCCCTTGCTCTCCCAAGAACTGGCAGTTTTAAGGTGTTCTTTGTCTTTATGTCTACTGAAGGATATTGTTTAAATATCCTTTAAATGCTTTTTTTACACTCCCCATTATGGAAAAATTTATCAAATTAAACCTACATTCTAGATGGCAGCTCAGAGCATAGCAAGAAGTCAGAGGTTGAATTCTAGTCCTAATCTGGTTTGATTTTATTCCTTAAAAATGATTACTGTTACAAAGTTTGAAAGCTGGTTTTGATGCGAATAGCAAATTGTGTATATTGTGACTAAGGCATAATAGCCTGTCTTACGAGAGGGACGTATTGTTAATAAACAGTGCCAAATACACTGTGCTTATCTACAAATTAATCTGAATGTACGTTACTTGATAGCTCCCTCCTCCTCCTGTGTGGTGGTTCCATGCCCAGTAAGATCCTTGTGACGTTTTGTATGGCTGTAGACTTTGGTGACATGTAAATAATGTGCAAAGCAAGTTTTTATGATCAAGGAATCAAATTTATTGAATTTTATTGAAAGTAGAAACTTAACATGTATGAACAAAACAATAAAAGAATATACTCTTTTCATGGACTATATTGTTATGTGAATGCTACATTTATTCTAAACATGTAGGACTTGCAGAAATGGGATGAGAAACTCCTATGACAAGATAGCAATACTATTTTTTTTTTTAGATAATATGTTCTTGATTGAAACATATTCTCATTTTTACCAGGTTAAATATTGGGAATCTTATAAAGTTACTTGCTTTTTGCTATTAATATATAACAGTGATATAAAATTCATCTTCCCCATTGCTAAAATTGTCAAAATTCTACAATTAAATTATGAATTGATTTTTACTGAGTATGGAATACCGAATTTAAAATGTATATGTGTACTCTTTTTTAAAAATTGACAGTTTTTGTCAAACCAGGAAATTAAAGGGTAAGAGCTATCTATCATCTGTTGTATGTTGCATAGAGTATTCACTTTCTAACTTGAGGATCTAATTATATTTTGTTTTTATGCATAATATTCATCTGAAATAAAATTTTTCAGAGGTCACATTTTAACTTTGGTTAATAGGAAATGCCTTTAACAAAAATTAGTGTAAGAAAAAGTTCAGGAGGATGGTTTGAAATAATCCCAGGGAACAAATTAATGCCAGCAATTGTCCAGGAATCCTAGATAGGCCATAACCTGTGATAAAATGGGGGGGAAGGGAGAGTGCAAAAAGAATCTGCTTAAGGTTTAAAAACAAATACACATTCATTGTAGAAAAAATTAATTTGGAGACATAAAGGAAAATAACTTATAATATCATTGCTCACCGTTACCTTTTTGGTGACAATCCTATAATTTTTTTTGTACTTATATTTTAAAAAATGGATCCTGCTGTACTGGGTTTAATAAAGAGATTCTTTTTAAACTATAAACTATAAAAAGAGTCTTTTATTCTGTTTTGTATTTTGTCATTGTGTTTGGATTCAAACAAATTACATTAGCACGTGATAAAATGTTTGGAGAAATTAGTTCACATTCAATTATCAATGAATTTTTAACCTTAGTTCATATTTTAAAGGTAATGTACTTATCTCTTTTCTCTATCTTCTAGAGATTCAAGACTATAAATTAATTTTGGCATCTGGATTCATATCCAGATGATGGCAAAATAAAAATTAGACGTACCTCAGATCAAGCTATCTGTGTTGATCATATTTATACTCTTCTTCATTAGAACTAGCAATTTAAGTTGCTTTTATGCGGATGAGAAAAGATCCGTTTGTCTTGGAGAAGGAAAGCTTCAGCAAAATGAAAAATATCAGAATGTAGGCAAGTTACACTTGTATGTATCTAATGTTTCCATTCTGATGAAGATTGATTGCAACTGTTATATCTTTTATGGATCTGGTTCTATGAACCTTTTATTTTGATAAATATATATTTTACAATGTCATTCCTCAGTAACAGCTTGTACATGACAACTGCCTAGAATTTCTTATTTTTATGAACTTGAATAGGAAAGTAGATGGGTAACGGCAATAGTAACTGACTCTCTTCTCTAGAGAGGAACCTGTATTTTAACTAGATTTTAGATAATTAGAAAGAAAATGGGACTTAAAAATGTGCAAGTTACTTAACTGGAGATGTTGGACAAAGCATTTGTCTGGTGCAGGGTTTCTCGGCTGGAGTGATTGTGCCCCCCAGTGGACAGTAGACAATGGAGACATTTATGTCTCTCCTGGGTTGAGTTGGGGAGTAGAGACATGACTGCTACTGGGATTTAGTGAGAAAGACCAGGACAGTCTTCCAAGGATTACAGGCCTCAAATGTCAGTAGTGCTGAGGCTGACAACCCTTGATTTCTTTATTTTGGGGAGGAGTGGTGATAGATGTTGCCTGAAATATGGTATAAAGCCGTGGTCGGCGAACTGTGGCTCGCGAGCCACATACGGCTCTTTGGCCCCTTGAGTGTGGCTTTTCCACAAAATACCAAGGCCTGGGCGAGTCTATTTTGAAAAAGTGGCGTTAGAAGAACTTTAAATTTAAAAAGTTTGGTTCTCAAAAGAAATTTTAATCGTGGTACTGTAGATATTTGGCTCTGTTGACTAATTAGTTTGCCAACCACTGGTACAGGGGAATTGTAAAATACAGATTTGTTTAGATTTGAATCTATAGACTATAGTTTAGAGGTGAAATAAACATGCATATTTTATTTGGAATAATATATTAACTTTCTTCTCATGAGTTCTAGTCATTTTTACATTTATCTTTGACATGTTTAAAAATATGTTTTTACTTAAGCACAATATAAAATCAATTACCTGCCAGATGAAAGAAATTACTAACTTGATGTCTATAGATTGGATAATTTGAAGCATGTGATTTCTTACAACGTGTAAAACATTGCTGTCTCAAAAAACTTGACTTTGTTTCAAATAAGCAATATGC